AGCAAAAATTATTCAACAATTCTGCAAAGCTGAATCACTCACAAAGGAATGAAATTTAAGATGCGACTTCACAATAGCAGTATTGGACTCAAGAGAATATGAACTAATATATTTGTGATTAAAAACATTTGCCATATTGTATTGTGAAATATGACATATGAACATAAAGTGCACAAAATGGAAACGTGAAACAGAAAGAGTGATTATAAAGCAAACACCAAGGTAACTACCACAGAGATGAAGATATTGCTGGCCACCTATAAAAGTACATGCAAAAAACGTAATGTAATTCACTTTGCCTCATTATAAATTTTATATAAATGGAATTATACTGTACATATTTTTTCTGCACTATTTCCTTTCCATTATGATAAAAACACTCCAACTTGTTTACTATACTTGTATTTTGCTCATTTCATTGATATACAAAATTTACCACACAATACTGTTATTATAAATGACACTGCTATTCTTGTATACGTACCCTGAGAGAAACGTGCTGGAGTTAGTCTAGCCCAGACATGACACTGCTGCCTTAGAAGATGTACACATTTTAACTTTTAGATAATGCCAAACTCTTTTCCAAAATTGTTAAACCAAAGTTTGCTCTTTGAAGTCAGAAATAAGACAGTGTTGGCCGGGCGCGGTGGCTCACGCCTGTAAACCCAGCACTTTGGGAGGCCGAGGCGGGTGGATCACGAGGTCAAGAAATCGAGACCATCCTGGTCAACATGGTGAAACCCCGTCTCTACTAAAAACTACAAAAAATTAGCTGGGCATGGTGGCCCATGCCTGTAATCCCAGCTACTCAGGAAGCTGAGGCTGGAGAATTGCCTGAACCCAGGAGGCGGAGGTTGCGGTGAGCCGAGATCGCGCCATTGCACTCCAGCCTGGGTAACAAGAGCGAAACTTAAAAATAAATAAATAAATAAGACAGTGTTGCCCTCTCTTTCTTTCTCACTCTCTCTCTTTCTTTTTCCCTCCTTCTTTCCTTCCTTCCTTTGTTCTTTTCTCCTTCCTTCCTTCCATTTCCTTTCTTTTTCTTCTTTCTTCTCTTGCTCCTCTCCTCTCTCTCTCTCTCTCTCTCTCTCTCTCTCTCTCTGTCTCTCTGTCTCTGTCTCTCTCTTTTGAGATGGAGTCACTCCCTCACCCAGGCTGGAGTGCAGTGGCAGGATCTCAGCTCACTGCAATCTCTGCTTCCCAGGTTCAGGCAACCCTCTCACCTCAGCCTCACAAGTAGCTGGAATTACAAGCATGCATGCACTACCAGCTTGGCTGCTTTTTGTATTTTTAGTACAGATGGGGTCTCACCGTGATGGCCAGGCTGGTCTCAAATTCAGAAGTCCTGACTTCAGGTGATCCATCTATCTCAGCTTCTCAAAGATTACAGGCGTGAGCCACCATGCCCGGCCGTAGTTTACAAATCTAAAAATATCTAGGCCTGTAATTTTAACACAGGAAAATATTTTATTATCCTTAAAAATTAAAAGAAAAAACAACTGGCTCTCCTGGTACTCAATTATGTAGGTTGTTTTTCTTGTTTCAATAGTTTATGCTCTTTATTCTATTCTGCCTTATTTTTCGACCTTATTTTGTTGTTTCTTTTTTCCCTAACCTCTTGACATATGGACAGTTAGTTCATTAATTTTCAGTCATTCTTTTTTTCTAATATTTATACCAAAGGCTTTATTATTTACATGACTGGAGTTAATTATTACTTCAGGTGCATCTTACTAGTTTGGGTATTTATTATTTTTGTTATTGTTCAGCCCAAACTATTTTCTAATTCCCATTATGATTTCTTCTTTAGTCCTGGCTTATTTCGAAGTACAATTCTTAATTTCTCAATATATGACAATTCTCTATAGCTTTCTCCTTGTTACTGGTTTCTAGTTTAATTATGAGGTGGTCAGAGAACATATTCTATAGATTTTAATTCTTTCAGATTTGTTTAGACTTGCTTTCTGATCCAATGTATGATCAATGTTGTGAACTATACCATACAGATATAAAAACACGTGTTCCTGTAAGAACCGGAGGCATTATTCTGTGTAGACTTTTTGGGTCAAATTGCGTTGTGGTCATCTCTTCTCAGTCATTGGTGATTGTTTATCTGTTTGTTCTATTATTTACTGAAAAAAGACATGCTACAATTTCCACCAAGGCTGTTGGTTTTTCTACTTGAAACTGCATTGGCCTTTCCATTACATATTTTGGGGCTATATTACTAGATGTACACGAGTTTAAAATGAAAACCTTTTATCATTATGAAGTGATCTTTTACATTTACCATATTACTGTTTGACCTGAAGTCGATTTCATATAACATTGATATACGTATACCAGCATTCTTTCAGTTAGTATTCACCTAGCATAGCTCTTTGCAGTTGTCTATTTTCATGTATGTTAGATGTGTCTTATAAACACGACACAGTTGGATGTTTTCAATACAATCTGAGTTTTTTTTACTTGTGGATAGTTGATTCATAATTACTGTTTTATGGATGTAAATCTACTGCCATTTTTTTATTTCCTTACTGTCCTATGTTTCTTTTTTTCTCTTTTATTTTCTTAGTTTGAATTACATGAGTATAGTTTAATCATTCGATTTATTTTATTTTCTCTACTTGTGTGTGGCCTGTACAAAGTTAGGGACCCTATTTCTGTTCTTTAAGTGGTTACCCTAGAATTATGCATTTGTAATTATTGTATCAATATCTAATGTTAATCAATACTTAATCCTTATACATACATACAACACACACATACACACACATCTGAGTATATTTGTTAAAGTACAGGAAAATATCTCTAAAGACGTCTCCAAATCATTTACAGTGGTTACTGCATGGGGCAAGGAAGAGGTTGAATTGCAGGGGAAAAGAGGGGGGATTTATTTTGCTTATCACAGTGGTGCACATATACATTACATTATGACAAAACATTAACCATCATTATTGTTATGTTTATTCTTACTCTGTATAATTCATGTTTGCATTTGCCACAGTGTATTTTGAACACATATAGTATATATTTTTTTCTTCCCTTCCTACAACCAAGAAAGAACCTATACAGTATATTTTTAACATGTCTATAATCACTGTTATTATTTAGGGGTTGAATCTGAATTAGGAAAATATGAAGATTTATTTTCAAAATCCAACCAAAAATATAAAAGTTTCAAAATATATGGCTTTTGAGTTGTTGGCAGTTTGTGGTTTAGGAATGGGTTAGCAGTAGGTAAGAATTTTATGATCAATAAAACAATCAGTAACAACTAAAATATCCTGAAGAAATATTTAATATTTAAAAGATTTGCAGTAACATAGAACTTAGAAGGGTGATTTCCACAGGGCCAGACTTAGGGAATGGGGTAGGGTGGGTGAAAGATGGCTTTTCAGGAAGTGGTTAAAGTATGGAGCTAGAGTGTAAATATTCTAGATTAATTGGAGTCTTTCACAGAGTACAGTCATGTGCATGTCACAATGTTTTGGTCATGGACTACATTACAATGGTGAGCACATGAGATAATAATATCATATTTTTACTGTACATTTCTTAAGATACACGAATACTTACCATTGTGTTACAATTGCCTACAGTATTCAGTACAGTACCTGCTGTACAGGTTCGTAGTCCAGGAGCAATAGGCCATGCCATATAGCTTAGGTGTGTAGTAAGTGATACCATGAAGGCTTGTGTAAGTGCACTCTACGGTATTCACATGACAAAAAATAAACAGCAAAACCCCCACTGGAAGCATTTCTCAGAAAGTATCCCTGTCCTTAAGTGGTACATGAATGTGCTGCCACCACAGTATATATTCAAGGGTGATCTTCATTATGTAGATTCACACGAATGGACTTTAACCCACTTAAAAGCCGTGTGAAAATATCTTGCCCCTAGATTCAGGAATCTTCTGGACACACTCTTGTTTACAATTTAAATTATTTCAAAAAATTGATATACCTGTTGATTAAATATAAGTATTTGTGTGGCAGGAGAATAGGGTCTGGAAGCAGGGAACCTAGGGCTAATTCATGCTGACGGGATATCAGAGGCTACTCTCTTTTCAACCCCTTCTTTTTCTGTGTGGCAGTTGCTGCCTGGCAGTTGCAATCCCTTCTTTTCCTGTGTGGCAGTTGAAAAAAGAAGGTACCTTAGATTGGTCCCCTCCCTCAACCAATCAGACTTGTGGCAGGCTAATGGGAAACCTCTAGAAGGTATTTAAACTCCAGAAAATTCTGTAACCCACGCTTTTGAGCAGCTTGCTACAGCCCACTCCCCGGGTAGAGTGTACTTTCATTTAAAATGAATCTCTGCTTTCTCTGCCTTGCTTCATTTTTGCGTTTTGTCCAATTCTTTGTTCAAAATGCCAAGAACCTGGACAACTACCCTCAACCAGTAACATGTGCCCACAGGTATCCAGACACACCAGATTCCCCATGCCTGGAACTTCTTCCCATGCTTAGTTTTCTCTTACAATTCCAGTCTCCACTCAATGATCTCTTCTAAAGGAGGATTTTAGAGAGCAACATGTGTAAAACAGCTTTTCTAGTGCCCCAGCAGCTAATTTTTATTAGGGTACTTATATTATTTGAAATATTATTTTTACATGCTCCCTGCCACCCCGAAAATGAGCTGAGGGATATTGTCTGAGTATCCCCAATACCAGGCACACAGTAGGCATTCAGTAAGTCACTGTTGAATGATTAGATTGTCTACGGAATTCTAACATGTATAGATGAAGACTCTCACATGTTGTGAGAAGAAAACAAAAACTGGGTTGACAGAGGCTTTGAATATGAGGAAATGGCCTTTCCAGATAAAGAAACTCAGACTCAGCGGACGAAAGGACTTGTCCAAGATTACCTAGTACCAGGAAAAGCGGAAGGCAGGAGCCTGTGCCGCACGAGGGCGCTACGGGAGGGCCAATACCGAGCAGCCCTTTTGGGAGGGTCCCAGCCACGGAGACGCGGGAGCCCGCGAGAGGGAACCTCTTGTCTGCAGAGGCTGCTGCGCTCCGGAGTCGTGCTCTGGGACAGATGGCCAAGATCCGCTCTTGGGGCCGGAACGCGAAGGCCCCGGGAGCGACGAGCGTTTGCCACCCGGACTCCAATCCCCAGCCTCGAACTCCTGCGCCAGGCTGCGTTCAGCCTCTCGCAGCAAGCTCGCTCTCTCTCGCAGCAAACTCCTTCCCGCCGCGCCTGGCGAGCACGCAGGTCCTGCAGTCTATTGGGCTAGGGCTTAAAAGCCCGACACGGGCGAAAAAGACGCGATCTCAGTTTCCGGGGACGCTTTAGAGAAACGCACTCGCCCCTCCCGTTCCGGTTGGGTAGGCGCCGGCTCCTAGGGCCCCACGTGGGATTCGGCCCGGGTAGTTTTCTGAGGCTCTGCTCCTGCGGTTGGTGAGAGTGCTTGTGTCTGGAGTGCGGAGCTCCTTCGTGGCCGCGAGGACGTCACCATGGTGGGCCCCCTCCTGCTTCCCCGAACCACCCGGTTGGTTCCCCAGAAGGCTCTTGTTGAGCATGCAGAGGAGGAGGATGCGGTTTCGGGAACCTAGTAGAGGGGAGGATGCAAAGTGTTTGCGAGGGTGTGTGGAGTGCGGGGGGTAGCCTCTGGGAGGCGAGGCCCAGGCCCAGCGCCTGGACTTTAGAGTTCCGCGTCCGAGTGCCGAAGTGCTCAGATGCCCTGTTTGCCTCGTGCCTAACGTCTCGCTAGTCACTGCCTCCTTGGGGGAAACCCTGCACCTTTCCGTTGTACCTACTCGGGTAAACGCATCGGGGAGTTCGCAAAACTCCTAAGAGCGCTGGCCCCACACACCTCTGCCCCTCTGGCCTCGGTAGACTCTTATGGGCTTAGTCTAAGCCTCTTCCTCGGCATCCATTTACCTCCCTTTAGTGATCCATTCCTGCCCTAAATCCTGTCTTTACGCCCCATTCCACCCAGGGCACCGAAGCAGTTTTGTTGTTTTTATTAAAAATTGAGTCGATACCAAAAAGTGTTTCTAAAACACATTTCAAGTGTAAAGATTAGTAGTTTCAGGAACTCTGCTTTACGTATTATGTAGTTTTAAGAAATAAAACATAGCTTTGAAGGCCCTATGTTACCTTTAAACATACAACTTACAGGAAACCTTAAGAAGCAAACGTTATCTAAGTTTTGTATTTATAATTTCACTATTTTTCTTCATAGTTATGTTTGTATTCTGAAACAGTATGTTGTTTCTTCGTGCCCTTTTTACTTAATTGTGTTCTTGAGGATAATTCTTGAATAGAAACATGCCGTATAAATATTCATATTTTCAATTGGTTTTTAATAGAAACAAAATTTTAGAAGTTTATAATCTGGTCACAAGTTATGATACTGTGGCCACAATGTGGCCTCTTTGTTTCTTTTCGTTTTTTCTCTTTTCATTGTATGCCAATCATTTTTGTTTTACAATCTAGGTCTTTTGTTGGTTTTGGCGAGGTTTTGTGCTTCATTTATTAATTTATTTAGATCCACCGCTGAGGCATATTTTGTGCTTTATATTGTACACATTTATGTAAATTCAGTGTTTGCTTGTCACTTTGCTGGTGGGATTTCCAGCTTTTTATAGGGTATTTTTTTTTTTTCCTTTTCAGAGTGGAATATTAAAGCAATTACATCTAATTGTGTTTGAGTGATTGGGGAGATAGATTGGTAACTTGACCGTAGTTGTCCTTGACTATCAGAGCTTCGCCTTTATCAGTTTGTATAGTATAAGTATGTTGCTTTGGCATAGAAGTCAAAAGAATGGCATTTAAATCTGTTTTCATTGGCTAATTTCTGCCTCTGTCATTTTTTTGATACAATTTCATCAGTGGTTCTGCTGCATCCTTCTTCAGTGCAGCTCAGAATGTGGTCCCGGAGGACAGAGTTGGGCACCTGTCTTTCCCTCAGTTTGCCATCTTGGCAAAATTACTTAACCTCGCATCTGTCTAACTGGGATAACAATAGTACCTACTTCATAGAATTGTGGAAATTAAATGTAATGTGCTTAGTGTAGTGCCTGGCACTTAGTAAATGTTAATGTTATTAACTTTAGTTATGTAAATAGTAACAGTACAGCTTATAGTTGTCTACCTTTGTTACTTTGCTCATTTATGTTCTCTTATTGTAAATCTTTGCTGGAGCTCAGCAAGTTCATGTCTTTTTTTATATAAAAATTTAGTTTATTATACATAAAGAATCTTTTCAAATTAATCCATCCCACTCAACACTTTTTTGTGGTGTATTAAAAAGGTTTTTAGTATTTATTTATTTATTTTTATTTTTTTTGAGACAGAGTTTTGCTCTTGTCACCCAGGCTGGAGTGCAGTGGTGTTATCTTGGCTTACGGCAATCTCTGCCTCCTGGGTTCAAGTGATTCTCCTGCCTCAGCCTCCCAAGTAGCCGGGATTACAGACTTAATGCCACCACACCCAGCTAATTTTTGTGTGTTTAGTAGGGACAGGTTTCACCATGTTGGCCAGGCTGGTCTGGAACTCCTGACTGGCCTCCCAAAGTGCTGGGATTACAGGCATGAGCCACTGTGCCCAGCCAGGTTTTTAGTATTTTTAAGTGTGGTTCATGCTATACTACTAGGCACCCATGGTGCCTTTTTATATAAACATGTCAATAGAGCTTGTGTGTGCTTGTTTTCCTCCAGCTAGACTACAAACCATTGAAAAGTGCATCATCCTCCCTGCATTTATCTTTGCATATTACTGTGGGCATTAACTGTTACTGACTACCTTAACGGTAGGGATTGTGTGTTTTTGAGCCAAATCTATAAATGTGAGCTACAACAACAAATCAGCTTAGTAAATCTCATAGAGATTATTTGCTAGTGAAAACTTGCTCCTGAAAGTTACTAAAACTAAAGAAAAACATTAATAGAAGCCTCCCTAGTATATCAACCTTTTTCAGACAATACTGCATGTACATTGTTTAAAACAATAAAAAATGGTTGCTCATAAAGATTGTATTAGTTTCGTATTAACTGCTATAATAAAGTGATACATTTAATGGCTTAAAGCAACACATTCATTTTCTGAAATCACTGGAGTTCAGAAGTCCAAAAATGAGTCTTTACTGAGATAAAATTAAGGTGTTGTCAGGGCTGTCGGTCTTCAACGGGCTCTAATGAATTTTTTCGGTTTCTAGAGGTCATCTACATTCTTTGGATTCTTCCCTCTTCAAATCCAGAAGCATAGCATCTTTAAATTTTCCTCCAGAGAAGGTTAGATTGTCTCTGACAGTGATCCTCCTGCCTTCCTTTTACATGGACCTTTAGGATTATATTGGGCTCATGTGGATGATTTTCCCCATCTCAAGGTCTTAATCACATCTGTAAAGTCCTTTTTGTTATAAATGGTAATATATTCCCAGGTCCTGGGGCAATCAGGGCATGGATCTCTTTTGGTGGGGGGAGGGCAGAGCATTATTTTGCCTGCCACCAAAAGACTTTCTCCAACTCTGGAGAAAGGCCTAATGCCCTGGTTCACTTGAGAAACAGCCACTGTTTAGAATTTCTTAGCTATTGATTCAGATATATGTATGTACCAGCATATATGTAAATTCCCTAACCTCTCTTTTTACATAACTGTAATACTAGACACCTTTGCCCCATACTTTTTTGTCTTACTTGATCTTATGGATCCAGGTAAGTACATATAGATCTACGTCTTGCTTTTTAAACAGCAAATATCCCATTGTTTGTTTCTGTAATTTATTTAACCTGATCCTTAATGGACCTTTAAATTGTTTACATTCGTTTACCACCACAGACATTGTAATTCTGCTGCATTGATTATTTATCCCCCCTTTTGATACCTGTATAAATATGTCTATAGAATAAATGAATTAAAGTAGAATTTCTTGGTCAAAAACCTTTTAACCAAGAAATTCTATTAATTTTTATCTTGATGGGTACTATCTTTATTTTTATTTTACTAAAAAAAATATTTTAGAGATGCGTTTCACTGTGTCATCCAGCCTGGTATGTAGTGGCACACTCAGAGCTAGCTCACTGCAGCCTCAAGCTCTTGGGCTCAAGCCATCCTCCTGCCTCAGTCTCCCCAGTAGCCAGAATTACAGGTGTACACTGCCTTGCCTGGCTAATTTTTTGGATTTTTTCGTAGAGATGGGGGTCTTACTATGTTGTCCAGGCTGGTCTTGAACTTCTGGCTTCAAAAGATCCATCCACTTTGCCTTTGAGAAGTGCTGATATGATGGGCATGAGCCACTGTGATTAGCCCTGATGGGCACCATTAAATTGCCTTCCAGAAGACTGCACCCCTTTGCATAATGAGATTCCTAATACACCCCCACCCTCACTAATGCAATGTTAATAATTTTTTACCTTTGTTAGTCTTACACATTAGTAACTATTTCATTGACGTTTTCATTTTTAAAGTTTTTACAGCTTCTAAACAACACTTGTTTTTACTCTTTCTGTGACTTGTATATTTTTCCTGTTTTTGTTTTAGCTTGCTGACTTTTTTTATATTAATCTTAAAATAACTTATTAAGGAAATTAGCTCTTTTGTTTGTGTTGCAAGGTTTTTTGTAGTTTGTTTTTAGCTTGGTTTATGTTTTGCAATTCAGACGTTTAAGTTTTTATGTAGTTAGATTTGTTATTTGAAATCTTCTGAGTTTTATGTAATGTTTAGAAAGACCTTTCTCTGAGGCTCATCTACAAAAAAAAGTAAGGAAATCTTTTTTTCTAAGATCAGTGTGGTTTCATTTTTTATGTTTAAATGTGATCTATGAGGAATTTAAAGTACAGAATGATATACTAAATTTTTTAAAGATTCCTATGCTTTTTATAGTTGTCTCTTGGTATCGAGACGTCTTAGCTCCAGGATCCACTCGAATACCTAAATCCATGGATGCTCAGGTCCCTAAAATAAAATGGTGTAGTTTTTGCATGTAGCCTGTGCATATTCTCCTGTATACTTTAAGTCATACTTAAGCATACCTATTACAGTGTAAATGCTGTATAGGTAATAGTTATATTGGTTTTTTAATTTGTATTGTTTTATTGTTGTTATTTTTAATATATTTTTCTGAATATTTTCTGTTTTCGGTTGAATACCCAGATGTTAAACTTGGAGGGTCGACTGTATTTATTTACATTTTTCGAGTGTTTGAAATAGTTAATGCTAATCTAAAACTTGAATACATAGCTTAGCTAAACTTTTGTGACCTAAAGGATGAACTATTACCAAATGCTATTTTTTGTCTTATTTTGTTACATAATATGTATACAGTTTATGAAATTTTCTTTGTGTGTGTGTGTGTGTGAGAGAGAGAGAGAAAGAGAGAGAGAGACCTGCTTTATGCTCACCACTTGAAACCTAGGTTTGCTAAGTAGTGACTATTTTCTAAATCTCTACTAAATCTAATTCAGAAGTACATTTGGAGATCCCAAAACTGACTTATAAATGCATATAAATGAAA